ATGGCATCAATAATTATAATTTAAGCCTTAAACATTTACATTTGACATTTTACAGTGTGTGCATGAAATCCACTTTTTAATCACAACATTATGTTACATAGGTATATCAGTAAGACTGGTGGTCATTTCAACCAAAGTCAACAAGAGTCCAGAATCAATTATATGGTTTTTTTGTTTTTTTTTTTTTTTTTTTTTTTTTTTTTTTTTTCAATTTTCACCACTTGTTTACATTTATTAGAAAGGTATTTCCTGCAAATTTCAGCTTCATCCATCCTTATTTTCTTGCTGCTCAAAGTTTTATGACTTGTCCACAAATTTCCAGTTTTTGACTCTTCCATTTTCAGATGCTTACCATTTCAGATAACTTTTGTTGCTAGTCTTGATAAAGGTATTTCTCAATAGTAAACCAAGAGTAGTTTAAAAAAACAATGGGAGTCAGTGGTTCTATTACATTGAGCTAAAAAAAAAAAATGCATAAATTAGCTCCAGGGAGAAAATTTACCAATGTCTAGGTCCCTTTCAATCAATACCAAAGCAAGATAGGTATCCCATCTTTTCCAAAGTTGAAGTAGGTTATGGATAGTTATCAAAGCATGACCCCCTCCTAAGGATAAAAAAAACATTTGTTTTACACAAAGATTTCTCATTAATTGTTCCTTCCTTGCCAGTCCACTTAACCAAATACACACTCCTCTCTCGATAAAACATGATGCATTGAAATAAATTTAAAATTTTTCTACAATTTTTTTTTTTTTTTTTTTCAGATGCACCTATATATGAACTCTCAGTATGTTATTAAAGGCCATATTCCTGGCTCACAAAAACATAATCTGATATAAAATATCTTGAGCATAAAGTGAAATACTTAAAAGTAAACCAACTAATCACTCTTGCAACATTTCTCTTTGCATACAACTTCATTATTTTTTACATTTAGAACGTGTGCATACTTAATGATAAATCTTCTCATCATTTGTGTTTAATTATATATTAAAAAATATAAAAAATGTCTAAAACCCGTTAATGTCTATACTTAATCAAAATGTAAATGACATATAATACACATTTAAGATATTGTTATTCAATTTTTATATTTTGTTGCTTATTTACAAACTCAGATTTATGTTAAAGTTCTTATCTTATTCTTCTTGATAGTTGTATATATTCTTTTAAGAATATGTACAACTATGGTTCTTTATACACAGTTAAAGCCACTATTAAGGGATGATGAAATCACCATTATTTTGGCTAATATTAATGTCTAATCTTTTTAGAAGAGGAATTCACATTATTACACAGGTTTATTTAACCTGTATAATAAATTTAAGCTATTGAGTATACATCAAGCTTTCACAGAGAAAGCAGATGTTGTGACGGGCTTTTGCTTAATTTTTAAATTTTTGTTAGTGGTAAAACAGCTGTGTTTATTTTTCATCCAGAACCAATAAAGGGGGTTTCCCTCCAAATTCCATACAGTGTACTTGGAGCCTACCTGTAGTTTATTTGGGGTGGGGTGGGACTTGAATTTGATTTTCAATCAACAAACAGCTGCTACAGGAATCCAGGTCGACCTGGTTCTGAAAGAAAATAATGTAGAAGAATTTAGACAACACCAGACAATAATTGAAAGGAACAACAGTCGCTCCCGCTTCAAAGAAAAGTCTTTGGCTGGTGTACTTGATCTAATCTATGCTGTTACTATGAACTTTGCTTCAAAAAAGTGTAGCAAATTATTCTTTAAAAAATATTCAGAAGTGTTTCTCCTTTTTTTTTTTTTTTTTTTTCTTTATGTAGTTTTCTTTTCTGAGGACCTGATGCAGCAATATAATTTTAATTGTAAAAGGGCATGTTTCATTTTCATTGATAATTTAAATATTGGCCATCATTTGGCACACCACACAATTATGTGTAATTCTTTTTTTGTGTGTGTATTAAGAATGAAATTTTTCATGTTTTTAATCTTGGTTCATGTCATCTATCTTTGTTGTGTACCCATAAATTAATGTTACCTAAAACATTTGTTTGAACTATTTATTTTTTACAAAAAATATCCTATATCTGGTGTCTTTATCTCTGTTGTTATTGTTACAATGTTTCAGCCATTGCATACTATTTGTGTTTGGTATTGTTCTGGAATTTTTAAACTGTACCTTTTTAATTTCATTTCACTATATATTCTAGAGAAGATAACTTATATGAGTTAATTTTTCTTTGATATGCTGCTTGTTCCACTGAGCAATTTCACTACCTAACCCATAGATTGAACTCATAAATTCATGTAGCCCAAATTCACCAGACAATATCTTTAATTTTTATTTCTACTATCCTTTGTTGACAACCACAAGCAAAATTCATATCAACACATATGATCAGTGTTAGGAACATCCTTCAGAATAACAACTACCCTACAAGAATAACATTGGCTTTTAAAAGCAGAGGTACATGAGTGAATGTCAAAATTAATGAATTAATAAAAAAAAAAATTGTCTGTTTTAAATCAGAGGTGTATCAGAAATGATTCAGAATATCTGCAGTCGATACAACATCAGAATATTATTCAAAAGCAATTCCACACTTTGAAATACAAAGTTTAGAAAAGCTGCCCTTTAATAGTGAGGCTATAAGAACATTTAAAGGTATTTTAGCATGAACCACAGAATGTGGGCAGCCTATATCAGTAGATTAAATAAAGGAGTCAGTTCTAAATTCCCCACTAAAATGTTGTGACTATAACAACCAAGATGAGAACACTAGTTCAATTAAACCAGTGTATGAGATTATTACTATCCTATTTTATTGTGTTTATTTTTTATATAGTACTAGAGACCTCTTCTCCTCAGCACTTCTAAGATTTTACAAATCAGCAATAAAAAAACCTTTTTTGTTTGAGTTGGTTAAGTATTCAACTAAAAAAAGAAAAGAAAAAGGGGAAAATACCCTATCTTCCTCCTATTATAGCATATTTGGTGATTCTAATCAAGATATAGATAAAATAAAACCGGTGTCAAAATCCCAAAACAGATTAAAGGTAAGGGTTATGTCCAATTAAAGAACAGTATGTCAAAATTTTATATATTGACCCATTGTTAGTGAGGATTCAGTTGGATTCTGTGACACACTTTGAGTGCTGACTCAGCTGTTAAGAATTGAATGAGTCCATTATTATGAAACTTCATAAACAAGTCCATGATTCTAGTTAGTCCTAGGGTTGAATTGTCAGAGAACTGCCAGCTGTAAGAATTAAGGATCATGATGTTTGCCAGTTCATGTTTCAAATAGTCATGATCTACTTTTTCTCAGGATGATTCTTTCATGAAAATAAAGCAAAAATTGTCAATTCAAACAATATTAGGAAATAGCAAAACAATATGGAATATTTCTTTTTCATATAATTCTTTCCTAATGTCTTTGTCCCAAAATAGTTTCTTATGTACTAAAATTATGTTTTACTTATCAAATACAAGGTATATAACATTTAAATTTTACTGAATTTCAATTATTCAAAAACAAATTCTACTGCAAACAACAAAGAATCAAAATACTTTAAATTACAGTCTAAATAAATTTAAAGACACCTTTATAATTACAATTATCTAATTATATTTTTATATTGCAAATATTAAAGAAGTCTGCTGCTAGAAAAGTTGGTTCACATTCTTCACAGTATCTTACACATTTATAAGTATACCAATTGTTTATGCAATGAATATTGATTGCTGCCATATCTGGTCTGGCACTTTTGCTATGTATTTAGAGATTCTTGATTAAAGTCCAAAGAAGAATCTGCAATGACTTGGTATCTTCAGTCACTTTCCCCCTGTCATAATATAGCTTCCCTGTGCTTTTTCTTTAAATAGTTTCATGATAATTTTTCTGATGAGATTTTCTCTTTGACACCTAGATTTTACAAATTTAAACACTGTACTAGATTGACAGCTAAGTTTCATCATTTTACAGTTGAAATTGCTAGATGTAACCAGAAGGTTTTTATATAACATAAGGAATTAGAGCATGAGATACAAATCTATGAGCATAAAGTTTGCATTTTTATGGAGAAAGCAATTTATCAGTCTGATTTATTTAAATCCTTTTAAAAAGTGCTAATATACTTCAAGGTCATATCAAGAAATTCTCAAAATATGACATACAGGCTATTTAATTTTCATATAGCATCTATAAAATGGGGCAGCTTGGGAATGGAACCCAAAAATAAACACAATATCTCTTTACATTTCATGACACAGCTTATAAATATATCCTGAGGGTAGGTTTATATAAATAACATATACACTTAAAGTAGTTTTATATTAAATTTAATCAATTTTGTTTACATTCAGATAAGGTAATGAAATTGAGATTTCATGTAAAAATAAAGTTTTATACTTTCTGTAAGTATCACTACTTACAAAAAAATATATTTTTTGACATTTGGAATAATATCTTTACTAAGCACAAAAAACCTGATAAGTAGTCCACAATGGAAGGTGTTGCTGTGACAATCACTAACAAAAACTGGTACCAACGTAGGCTACATACCTGGGCTGGGAAACCCCCACCCAGAGCAGATAAGGTCACTTACACCAGCTGCACATCACCTAGGAACCTCCTCAGTGCTTTCTGAAATTTTCCATTTGTGGCAAGTCATGTCAGCACCTGAAAAACTTACGGGTTTTGGAATTTCAGATAAAGGGTGCTCAACTGTATTTCGATATTTCACCATATGAAAAAGATTTTATGTCAGTGTATGACACAAAACTCATTTATTTATCTTAGTAAGTACTCATATATATATATATATATATATATAAGAACTAAAAGCAATATTAACTCCACAACACTGGTTATATACAGCAGTAAAGATTCAGGATTAAACTTATAGTATCCACTTTTTTTTTTCTTTAAATAGTTCTCCTAATATAGTTTCAAAACTCTTGTTACTCACTGAACACATTAAAGTGTTTTAAAATTGACTTATATTTTTATGATTTGTTTGTTTCCAGGACATTTGAATCTGTGGAATTTAACACATCACCCTATTTGAATGTAATCATTGGTCCAAATGGTACTGGGAAATCATCAATCATATGTGCAATTTGTCTTGGCCTTGCAGGAAAAACTAGTTGGCTTGGACGAGCATCACAGCTGTCTGAATTTATTCATTATGGTAAACAGAAAGGAAGGATTGAATTAGAACTGTAAGTACAGAAATTTCTTTGTGTCATAATCACTTTTTTATTAGTTATTTCTAATCTCCATCAAATAGAATTGCTGAATATTTTTGTTTATCATTTGTATTTGTCTGTCAGCAAAGAATAACTATTTCTATTTTCAAATTCTCTTCTATATAACTAAGTTTGATTTGACAACATTAATTTTAAAAAAATTATCTACAAGGAAGTTGCTGAAAAATTCTTGGCCTAACTTGCTTTCCAACACCAATTTTAGTGTTTGATACATCAAAATTTATTTTAGAATCCCTTCTTGATCAGGCCAAGAACTTTTCAGAATCTACTCCCAAGCAAAAGATTATTCATTTGTAAACACTATGCTATGCCCTGGAAAAATATTGATAAAATCTAATTTATTTTATATCATGTTTATACTGAAAAGTAACAGAAGGGTGTTTAAATAAGTAATGGCAAAGAAAACTGCTACCAATTTTTTTCTTTCTGTTTATTGAAAACTCTCTTGCTTTCTGAAAAAGTATGCAGCAGATATTCATTTATTTCAATCAATGATCCTTCTGTTAAGTTAGTTTGACTTATTTTACTAATTCTTACCTCTTAAATTTCATTAGGTTAAAATAACTTTTATACAAGATGTGACATATTCAGATGTTTAAAATCCTCACAGAAAAATACATTAAAACAGTATAGATAAACATGATTTAAAAAAAAATATAAAATATTTTTAAACACATGAAGATAAGGAAACTTTAATAACTCCAGACATGCATTTTGTGATTCTATTATTATTAAAAAATTTGAAATTTTATATATATATATATATATATATATATATATATATATACTTTCCTCACATTAGTGTAAGTAGCTTTTCTTTTCAGTGAATTACATAATTAATTTCAGACAATTGCCACAAAAATGTGACCTAAAATAAAGTAAGCAATGTTGATTCAATGATTTATCTTTGACGGTAATTTACTTGTTATTTAATAAAAATGTTTAACTTTGGAATTCATTGTTTTTATCACTTGTAACAATTCAGTTGTTCCATGAAAACAATTTAGATAAAGTGCTTTACACTAATTTATTTTTTTCTATGTACCAATTTTCTAATTTTATAGACAGCCTTTATGTTTAATTAGAAAGGAAATAATTTGTATGTTAATTAGGGCTTAAATATCATAAATTATTTCATTTATAATTAAATTTTGTTTTGCATGCAAAAGTTTTAGGCCAACTAAAAACGATTGTACACCTTTATTTTATTAAGAAGTTAAGATTGTTTAGCAGTATGCTTTTATCAATAGTGTCTGTGGACTTTGACGATTGGAAAATAAGTTGCATTTTCGTTGATGCCGTGTAACAGAAGATACATTGTTTTAAGCACCTTAAAGTTGAAAAAAGGCAAAGCAAAACTATTGGGCCAATAAAAGATCTGAGATGATAAAGTCATGATAATACACAAATTCCCAAGTAGGAATTTTTCCATTTTATTAAAGTAGGGTGTTTTGGCAAGTCATTATAGTTATAACTTGCTTTTTTACACTAAAATCCAGTTTCTACTGAAACAAAGATGGAGGTTGTGATTTTGAAGGAGAAGATGACTCAACAAGAGATAACCAGGTGGCTGGGAAATTTACAAAAACAGTTTTCAAACCATTCAAAAGGGTGTGCTCCTGGAAGTGTTTTAAATGCAAAGAAAACTAGACAACCACAAACGCTAGACAAGAGATGAAAGAAAGATTACGAGTATCTCAGTAGGCAATCCAAAATTAACAGCAAACAAATAAACATTTAATCCAGTCTTAACAGTGTGCTTTCGGTTGATAGAACTTGCAGAGTATTACAAAAAACAACTTAAACAAACATATAGCAGCAAAAATGCCATCATTAACCAAAAAACATCTGAATGGCAATAATCTATCTCTCATATGTGATCTGAAGTGATCTAAAGAACACCTAACATGGAATTCTGAAAAGTGACAAAAGGTAATTTTTAGTGATGAATGCAAAATAGGGTTACATTCTAATGCAAGAGAATATGTAAGAAGACCACTGAGACAAAGAAACATGTAAGATAACCACAAAGACTGTAAGATTTAATGGTGAACACTTAATGGTGTGAGGTTGAATCAAAAAGCAATAGTAGAATTTGGTAAAAGTTGATGGAAACCTAAACAGTGAAAACCTGCCAGGCTATGAAGATGATGAAATTTATTAGCATGATGTTGCACCTTATCACACATCACATGCAACAAAAATTTTTCTTGTTTGATGAATTTTATATTCCAGGCTAATAGGAATATATACTTGACAAACACAGTGAATAAAATAAGGTTTATTGTAAAAACCAATACAATAAGAATGAAGGTAACAGTTATGCACAAGGTCGTCGCAAGTCAATCCAGTAGTGTGTCTTACTATTGGAAGGTCCGTAGTTCTCACGTGAGTCTGAGTCGTACTCAACAGATACCAGCTAGACTCTGTAGTCCATTGACTTACAGATACTTATAGGTAGTTACTACATATAGTGTAGTCACTCATGGGGGTGACAGATTATTCCATTACATCAATGAAGATGTTCAACTTTTGGAAAAATGGCCAGCATAAAGTCCTGATGTCAATATAATTGAACCGTTGTGGTTGGAACTGAAGAAACAAGTGCTCCAGTGAAAATTGCGCAATCTCTAAGATGTAATAATAAAGATCACTTTTTGCAAAACAATTCCTTTTAACTTTGGAAAAGAGTTGAAAGATCAAATTTTCATTGGTAGACCATTATTTTTGCATGGCCTTTTTTCAGAGTCACTATGCTTAAGATGCTTTATCAGTCATCATTCAGCATTAATGAAAATGCATTAATGTTTTCTGGCTCTCCAAGATCATAAAATATACCAAGAAAAGAATACTGCTAGTAACACTCAATTTGTGGATAAAATTAATAAAAGTAACTAATTTATCAAAATGTCCCAAAAGTTTTGCCATCCAGTTAATTCAGAAGTAAATTAATACATATAACAATTATCAAATTCATATTTTTGAATGATGTTATTGTCAAAGAGCATATACATATATTTGGGAAATGAAATGCCCTTATAGTTGAGGATATTTCATGCTTTTTGTTCTTAAAACTCATATGAAAATATTTGAAAGAGTGCTCAAAATTTGTCTATTATTGATTGCAGCAATAGCCACTGTTCACTAAAGGCTTATAATTTTTGTTATTCTGTTGTACAACTCTCTATTCAGATAGTTTGTACCTTTGTGTTTACTAAAGAATTATGATAATTCATATGAAAAGTCATATTGAATAATAGAAATGCTAAATAAAATTTTAAAAGCATGACTAATGTATTCAGATCATGTTAAAAATTCTTAGTCGTTATATTCAGATTCAACCCTGATGGGGAAAATTACATCATTCAACGTGAAATCAACAAAAACAATACATCTTCATGGTTTGTTAACGGCCGTCAAGCAGCTCAGAAAGTGGTAAGCTTTACTGCATTTATTTTGCAATCTTTCTTAAATTGATTTTTCATTTCTATTTTGTAAAATATAATTACTCATCCACTTTTATTTATCTTGTAACAAACAAGAAATATAATTTCTGTCTGAATTTCTAGGAGGAGGATTTATCATCATTTATATTCAGACTAATGTCCTCATCTTTGTTATCACAACATTTCAGCCATTGTGCCTTCCGGCTTCAGGTATCTGTCGATCTGCGTAACCTGTATGGAATTTCAAACTGAGCCTTTTACTTAATCTATGAGGATAGGTTGTTCTTGTTTCACTGTCCATGTCTAGGAATATTTCGTCTTGTTCTTATTTAGTATTGCTCAGTTATTGCTGATCTTGTTTTCATTAATTCTAAATCTTTACTGCCTGGTACAGGGATTGAACTCACAATTATTATGTCACCAATATGTCCTCATACATATTTTTGTTTTTTCTAGCCCTTTTTATTTCTCTTCATCTCATTCAGACTTGTATATTATTGTAAATAATTGTATTGCACTTTATTTTGTTATAATTTGAATTGATTTCAAAAAATTTCTTTTCCTGACAGTTGCTAAACTTTTTTCAAATTAGTTTCATCTAAGAGTATAGTTTGGAATTTATTGTCAAACATTGCCACTATTAATTTTGACTAGTATTTACTTTAGTGGCTTTTTATCACAACTTTACTCACACAGTGAGTCAAGAATAAAAATCTCTCATGCTCTTTTTGTCTCGGGAAGTTCAGTTGAATGCACCAATTGCTCTAATACAATGGCTCACAGAAGCTCAAATCTATCCTTTTAAATTCATCTGTCATTCTACGATCTCTCTTGGTGCCATGTTTGTGTTTATTTTTACACTAGCAGTATTATGAAGGGTGCAGAAAAGTCCTCCCCCCAAAAAAAATCTGTTTAGTTATTTAGTCAGATTTTAAGAAGGTCAGGCATCACTTCATAATAGCAGTATTGTCTTTATTTTTATTTATTTATGGGATGAAGCATTATCATTATTTTGAAAAATTAAGATGAAAATAAATACTAATGATAATGATGGTTGATAATATCAAATTAAAAAAAAAATATTTGTGTTTATTTGTTTTTATCATAATATATCATTCATAGATATGAATAATATTAGTTGCTTAATGGTTTATTGAGTTTTATATTTTTAATTCTTAATAGATTGAAGAAATGACAGTACGTTTGAATATTCAAGTAGGCAACCTCTGTCAATTTTTACCACAAGAAAAGGTAGCTGATTTCTCTCGAATGTCACCTCAAGAATTATTGGAAAGCACAGAAAAAGCTGTAAGTTTTTTATTATTATTATTATTATTACAAGTTTATGATCCCTAAAGCCATGAGGGCTTTGCGCAAGTCTGCTTCATTGGTGAAGGATTTCCCACAAAGATGATTATTCAGTGAGTGGAAGAGGTGTTAATCGGATGGCACAAGGTCAGGTGAATAAGGTGGATGACACAAAGTCTCCCACCCAAGTTGCTGTATGGTATCCCTGACCACTCGCGCGACATACGGCCTGGTGTTGTCATGGAGGAAAAGCACACATTTGCGATTCACCAGTGTTGGCTCCTGGCGCAATGCCTGTTGCAAACGTTTCAATTACTGCGAGTATAGGTCTCCAGTGACTGTTTGGCCCGTTGGTAGCAGTTCATAATGAACCACTTGACAACCTGTCCACCAGACACAAAGCATAATCTTGCGTGGGTGCATAGGCGGTCTTGCGGTGTGAGGGACAGCATCCTGAGGAGACAACAAATGTCTGGAATGCTTGGGAGTTTCATACAGAACCCACTTTTCATCACTGGTAAGCACTCGATTGAATAAGGATGAGGTACGGTGGCAAGAAAGCAGCGATACACAGGCTGCCACTCATTGTCCCTTGTGGACCTCCAACAGCGTTTGCAGAACCCACTTGCTTAGTTTGTATGTCTTACCTAGGCGGTGCAGGTGAAGTCTGTTTCACCGGAACCATTGAACTGTCTTGCAAATTCACCACACGTTAGACTACTGTCCTCTTCAATGGCTACCTTCAGGACTCCGTCATTCAAGACCTGTGGTCGTCCACTGTGAGGCTCATCATGGAGAGACAAATCTCCCAACTTGCATTTTCGAAACCAACACCTTGCAGGACTTTCATCTACAATACTATCCCCAAACGCTTGACATATGCGGCGACAGCTGCTGATAAGCCCACTTTGAAGTCGTAAAGCAAACAGCCTCGAACGAGATCTCTAAACACTTCCATCCTTCTAACAGCTTGCCCGGTCGGTGGGGCATCAGAATACGCCGACTGCCCCCCTGCAGAGGGTAAAAGTCCCTCAATGGGGCCACCTGTTGGCCATGGGTGGTAACCCGTAATATCTGGGGACGGGATCCTGGTGGTTGAGCAGGTTGTAACCAGATGTAAAGCGGTCACAATCCTGTAACACACCACTTTGGCCCTTACCTGGACTAGACGGGCAGTCAGAGGGGCCCAATCCAATCAATCGGCTGGTCATGTTAAGCCCCATCATATATAATCCACCCCAAACCTATAACTGACACTCTTCCCAACCAAAACTAACACTTAACCCTAAATATGTGATGGAAGGCGGTGGCTGAAGGTCAATCAATTTGGGAGAAAAAAAGGATCTGACACACCTGCTAAACCTTCACAGCTGTAATACTTGGATAACGGAAACAAAGGAACACGCATGCTCAAAGACTCCTCCCAAAGAGAGTATATCATTCACGTAGCCCCGACATGGCAAGGCAAATGGGTTTCCCTTTTGTCATGTCCCAATACTGGACTCCGCGGTGGGTAGGGACCGTGGATGATGAACAAAAATAAAAACAATCAATAGAAAAAAAGAAATCTTCCAAGAGACCACATGTGGATAACGACTCGGAAACAGAAAATGATAGTGAAAACTTTCCACGATTTATTGTACTCGAAGCAATAAGCAAAAAAGCACTAACAGAAATATCTCCATTTAAAATACAAAAAGCAATATCAAATATCATCATACCAAAAAATGTAAAAAAAACTACAAAATGGAACATTACTAGTGGAAGTGGAAAAAAAAAGATATATGCGGACACACTAATAAGACAAAAAAAACTGCAAGAAATAGAAATAAAATCCTACCCACACCAAACCCTAAATTTCTCAAAGGGTGTAGTAAAAAGCAAGGAGCTCTCCCTGTGCACTCTAGAGGAGATAAAAATAGAACTCCAAACTCAAGGAGTTACAAATGTCAAAAGAATAACAATAAAAAAAAATGAAGCAGAGATACAAACTAATACCTACATTCTAACTTTCAACTCCCCCCAAATTCCAACAACAATTAAAATTGGATATGAAAGTATAAAAGTAGAACAATACATACCAAACCCTCTTCAATGCTATAGATGCCACAAATTTGGGCATCACAGAGATTCCTGTCGAAACAAAAAAACATGTGGAAAATGTAGTGAGAAAGAACCAGAACATAAAGAAGAGAACTGTCCAAATGAGAGCCTATGCTCAAACTGTTTGGGAAACCATTCTGCCCTCTCAAAACAATGTAGTATCTACAAACAGGAAAAAGAAATAATCAGAATAAAATACAAAAAAAAATATGTCTTTCTCAGAAGCACGAAAGGAAGTTAAAAATAACATAAAAGAAAACACCTATGCTTCCATGGTACAAAAAGCAAATAAAATAAACAATGAAGATAAAATAAAAGGTTCAACTGAAATAACAAATTTATGTAAGGAATTAAAAGCTTTCCTTGAAGAATTAAAAACCTTTTTAATCGAACTTAAATCGGATCAAAATAAAAGTCAACAACCCAAATCAAATGGAATTAACCCAGAAAAAGGCAAAAAACTCTGGAAAGAAAACAGAACAAAACTCCAGAGAACCCTCTTCTTCCCAAACCCAAACCAAGAAAATGAAAAATAAACAAAAAGACAAAAAGGTGACAACAGAGCAAGAAAGCACTCGATCAAGATTTAACTCAAAATCAAGAATCAATATATCAAATGAAAATAAATTTGAGCCTATGGAATATATAGAAATAGAAGAGAAAGAAAATAAACAAAATCCAAAACAAAACCAAAAATCTGACCGAAGGACACCACAAGCATTTGAAGACAAAGCTTCTAAAAACTCAAGAGATGGAAAAAAACTGGAGAGGACAAATGATATAAAATGAAAATGAATAGCAAAAAGCTAGATACTAAAGGTAAAATATTAGAAGAAATAACTAACACCCATAACTTATGTCTATTAAATCATAAATCCTCAACCTACCTTAATCCCTCCAGTGGAACAGAATCGTCAATAGACTTAAGTATATGCGATCCAGAAATTTGTATGGACTATACATGGAAAACACATAGCGACACATGTGGCAGTGATCATTACCCGATCATTCTAGAAAATCAAAAGCCTGCCAAGGAAGAAAAGATAGGCCCCATCAGATGGAAACGGAAAAGAGCCAACTGGGAGGGTTTCAAAAACAAATGTAAACAATTACTGATACAGTCAAAGGACACAGACAACTCGATAGAATACTTTACCAAAACACTAATAACCATTGCCTCAGAAAATATACCAAAAAAAGCAAAATAATTATAAAAAACTAAACCCTGGTTTGACAAAAACTGCCAAAAAAAGCAGTCAGAAACCGGGAAGCAGCATTGCAAAAATTCAAAAAGGAACCCACAACCCAAAATTTGATTGAAATGAAAAAAACTCAAAGCAGTAGCACGGAAAACTGTTAAAGAAGCCAAAAGGGAATGTTGGAAAAATATGTAAACAGCCTAAATACACATTCCAAAACCAAAACAATATGGGAAATGATGAGAAAAATAGCTGGAAAAAATCAAATATCCCCAATAATACATCTTAAAAAGAACAACACTAAAGCAACCAGCAAAAAAGAAATAGCAAACCTACTAGCAGAGACATTTGCAGAAACTCTAAAATGAACAAAAATCAAAACCTACAAAAGTGTAAACAAAAAGATATAAATAACCAACTAAATTTTTCATCTAAAAATACAGAAGCCTACTAACCTATTCACCAAAGCAGAACTAATAGAAGCCATAAAAAAATCCCACAATACAGCAGTAAGCCCAGACCAAATCCACTATGAATTTATTAAACAACTACCACAAGAATTGCTGAAATACTTTTTGAATATTTTTAACAATATTTGGACAACTTGGAAATTTCCCAAAATATGGAGAGAATCGATAATTATTCCCATACTCAAAGAAGGAAAAGAGGGAAACAATCCACAAAGTTACCGACCAATAGCTATTTTCCAAGCGTATCTTGGATGTGGCACAAGGCCGAAAGTAAGGGGCACCCAGTGAGGATCGAACTCACTACTCATTCGTAATTGTTCTAGCGAGACAAGCTTGCTAACCATTACACCACCTTGAGGTGCCCCCGACCAATAGCATTAACAAGCTGTCTATGTAAGACAATGGAGCGAATGGTCAATGCCAGATTGAGTTGGTTTCTAGAAGAAGGAAAACACATATCAAAATATCAATGTGGATATAATAAAGGAAGAAGTACAATAGATCATATAATAAGACTAGAAACAGCCATAAGAGAGACCAATTTAAACAAACAACATCTAATAGCCATATTCTTTGATATAGAAAAAGCATTTGATCAAACCTGGAAACATGGTATAATGAAAGATCTGCATAAACTAGGACTAAGAGGTCAACTACCAAACTTTGTAAAAGGATTTTTAACAGATAGACTCTTCCAAGTACAAATAGATGCTACACGTTCTGATTATCAAAAGCAAGAAGAGAGAGTACCACAGGGAAGTGTACTCTCCCCTACACTTTTCAAAATAAAAATAAATGACATAATAAAAAACATCAAATCAGGAATACACTGTAGCCTTTATGTTGATGATTTTACAATATATTACAGATCGAGAAACCTCAACACAGCAGAGAGACAACTTCAACAATGCTTACATCAAATAAACAAATGGACACTTGAAAACGGTTTTAAAATATCAAAAACAAAAACAAAATCTGTACACTTCTGCCAACTGAAAAAATTACACAATAACCCAACTCTAAAACTAGGAAATGAAGAAATACCAGTAGTTCAGCAATATAAATTTCTAGGAATGATCTTTGACAGCAAACTGACCTTCAGACCACATATCAATTACCTAAAAACAAAATGTTTTAAAGCTCTCCAACTACTGCAAACAGTAGCCCACACAGACTGGGGAGCTAGCAAAGAAACCCTTCTTAAACTTATAGAACGTTGATCCGCTCCAAACTGGACTATGGCAGCATGGTCTACCAATCAACTAGAAAGTCCTATCTAAAAACAATAAATACAATACACCATGAAGGCCTTCGGATAGCTCTAGGAGCCTATCCCACCTCACCTATAGAGAGTCTACATGTAGATGCAAATAAACCCCCATTACAACTAAGAAAGGAAAAACTAGCAACTCAATACTATCTAAAACTCTCTTCCTGTCCTTCTAACCCCACACACGATCGTGTACTTACACCAAATCACAAAGAGAAATTTAATCTTAACACAAATAAAATCAAAAATTGGGACTCCGAATGGAAGGAATCATCCAAGAAAATAATATACAGTCTAATCAAATACTTAAAACCAACCAATCAAACATACCACCATGGATAATCAAAAATCCAAACATAATATTAAGTTTAAACAAATTATCAAAATCAAAAACACACCCCACAACATACATTGAAAAATTCTCAAAAATAAAAGAAAAATATCAAAACTATGAAAGTATTTACACAGACGGCTCAAAAGACGAAGAAAAAACAGGCAGCGTGGCAATAACAAAAAAAACAATTATCAAAAAACGTTTGCCAAATGAAGCATCAATTTTCAGTGCAGAAGCTTACGCAATAAAACTAGCACTAAATTTCATATCAAAATACAAAGGAGAAAACTATATTATTTTCTCAGATTCATTATCTGTATTAACATCCCTAAAAGGGAAAAGACTGGAAAATCCATTAATACAAAGTCTTCTATATAAACTACATTCAATGGAAAAAAGCAAAAATATCATCTTCTGCTGGATTCCTAGCCATGTCGGCATCCAAGGAGGAGATAAGGTAGATACTGCTGCTAAATCATCTTTAAAAATGACTATAGACGAAAATTTTCAAATTCCATATACAGACTTAAAATCTAAAATAAATAAATACATAAGAAACAAATGGAAAAATTCATGGAAAAACCAAACCGGAAATAAACTATTTCAAATTAAACCTAAAATAGGAAAATGGGGAAATAATCTTGGAAATACTCGGAAAAAACAAGTCGTCATAACCAGAACACGTATAGGACACACATACTTAACCCATTTTTATATATTAAAAAAGACAAATCCACCAAAATGCAGGTGTGGAAGCCTAATCACAATAAAACATATCCTATTGGAATGCAAAATCATAACTAAAATAAGACAAAAATATCTCAATGGAAAAGGTTTAAAAGAAATTTTCAAAAATACAGACACAGATAAAATATACATTTTTCTCAAAGAAATAAAGATCCTCAATAAAATATAACCCTTTCAAATAGTGTATATGTATGTGTATATGTGTTTATAGACGTATATATGCATGTATGGATGTAAATATGAAAATATACAATCAGAAACAATCACAAGAAAAAGCAACCCCAAAAAATACAGAAGATTATGAAACCCAACAGCCTTTCAACCTTTTATACAATATAACCGTCTTAAATTCATAAATTAATAAGGCTTCGGCATAAAATGACCCAAATAGTTGACATGCCGTTAAATCCAACATCTATCCATCCTTCTCACAGCTTATAACTGATGGCCGGGCACGGTGCGCGTGTTTTTTATAACGTCTGATGTTCCTACTTCTGGCCCTCCGAATTTGAAAACAATTGCTACACGCATTTCATATATATTTCAACTTCATTCAATCACTAATCAAAAAACGGACAGAACTTTTTTTGGTTACCTTCTAAATTACACCGTATAATATTGAAAAAAGTATATGAAGTCACTCTGTAAATGTATTTATGGGCATTGCCTTGAAAAATTGTCTTATTTTTTTTTAAATTTTGTTTTAACTTCATTACATTGTTTCAGCTGAAGAAAAAAAATCAGTTACCATTCCCAAAAGTTTTTCTTAAAAGATTTTCTCCCTGTCTGATGATTCTGCGTTGCTAATCACTAAGGTGTATTTACTTTGTCACTTACTTTCTCTTTGTGAATTTTTTCTGTTTTTTAGGTGGGTACACCTGAGATGTATGAAACACACATGATGCTGAAACAGGCCCGTGTTAAAGCACGAAACCTTGAAAATATTTATAAAAATTCTCTGGAACATTTAAATCAAGAAAAACAAAAAAATGATAATTTACAACAAGATGTCCGTAATTTTGAAGAAAGACAAAAGTATCTTGAACAAATAAAAATGCTACGAATGAAGCGCCCATGGCTGGTGAGTAATTTTTTTGTCTATTTGTGTAAAAACAAATTTGTTATTATTGTTTCTTAAAAACAGAAGTTCCCTTTGCACTGCCTTTGGGGAAGACTTGTGTTGTAATGGAATATACCACACTCTCTATCTCATATGTGGACTGACTATATATATATATATATATATATATATATATATATATATATATATATATATATATAGTGTGTGTGCACTGGTTATTCCTGGCAGACTTTCTAACTGATTCCCTGTGTTTCAATAGTGTATTCTCTTTTACAATAAACCTCTCGTTCTTTCATCTACACCTATGTTGCTGTTCCATTCACTTGAGTACCACCTCTGTCTGTTTGTTACCTTTTTAAGGATGCAACAGTGGCAATGAGGATTTGATTCAAACTCAGTGAAAAACCCCCCAAAGCACTGTTTGTAAAATGTGCAACAGTGGTGACACCAGATTCAATTCAAACTTACAACGAAAGATCTAAAAACACAGTCTCTAAAATGTACAACAGTAGTAATTACAGATTTGAATAACTTAAGTTGAAAATACTCAGTGAAATTATACAACAAAAATGGAATAACTGGCTGAATTGACTAGAGTATTACACACCAGTTTGCAGTTACAACAGCAGCAGCATCAACAATTATAGCAACAAGAAAAATTTGAAAAATCACAATTTTTTCAAGATGAACTGATGCAATTCCGAAAACAACAAGCAGAAGACACTAAGCTATTGTGTGAAACTGTAATATCTAAAACAACAGAAGAACAGGGCTACAGATTGTTTTCTCCTGAAGGAATATTGAATTCATTATCAGAATTCAGGTATGATCCGGACAATGGAGTAACTTCCCCTGACAATTTTCATGGATACAAGATGATTTTTTCGCAAAGATGCGAACCATGGTCTGAGGAGGAGAAAATTACATTGTTGGTCCAAAAATTAAGTACAGAGAAGAACACTAAATACATGAACCTAATTTTACCTAAAAAGCCAGAAGTCTTGCTAGAGGAAACAATGAAGATTTTTGTCAGGAATTTTCAACGAAAGAGATTTTGTTCTATACATGATACAAGTGTTTAAACATTGTAAAACAAGAGAATGAAGACTTTGTGACCTATGCATGTAATGTAAATTCACAATGTAAATTGTTTAACTTAGACAGCCTTTCAGTTAACATGTCTAAATGTTTAATTTTCATCCAGAGACTTAAGCGGTGAAGGACAAAGACATCAGATCAAGGATTCTGACAATTATGGAGCAAGACCCTCAAATTATTCTACATAAGGTAACTGAGGAATGCCAAAGGCTGATAAATGTAAAAAGAGACAATATGCGGATTGAAGAAAAGAACATTTCGCAAATCCAAGTGATAAAACAAACAAAATTTACAAAATATAAGGTGAAAGCATACCAGCGTGATACCTGTGGAGATTCTCATTTAAAAAAATGACTGTTTTTTTTTTGTTTTTTTTTTTTTAAGGATAAGGTTTGCTTCAAGTGTGACTATGACAGTTATTATAAACAGAAAAGAAAGAAGCAAAAATTTAAGTCGGAAGTAAATGTTGTTTTATCCAAGAATGAAATTGAAAATGGCAACAAAAAGAAAATATGTAAATACGAAAATAAATGGTCATACAGTGAAGCTATTGTTGGATACTGGAAGTGATATTTCTATTGTGAATGAACAAACATGGAAGAAAATGGGTTGTCCAGCATTGAGGAATATCAGAAAAATAGCTAGAGGAGTATCAGGTAAAAAGCTAAACTTTCGGGGCAAATTTAGCTGCAACATATCATTTATGGAGAGGACTTTCAAATCAAAAGTCTATGTTCTTCCAGGTACAACAAATTTATTTGGTACAGATTGGATTGTGCTTTTTGATTTATGTGAATTACCTGTAAATTCATTTTGCAACAAAGTGGACTTGTCAGTAAAGGAGAAATCTGAAAAAAACGGAAAAATTTATTTCTGATCTGAAAAACAAATTTCCACGCATGTTTTCTGAAGATCTTGGACAATGCACGAAAACCAAGGTCAGGTTCGAACTTAGACAACATAAGACCAGTATCCAAACCAAAAAGGAATGTACCATTTTCAGCTTTAGTTTCAGTAAATCAAGAACTGGAACATTTCGAGAAAAGGGGCATAATTTGTAAAGTTGAATATTCAGATTGGGCTGCTTCTACAGTGTATGTAAGGGGAAAAAAACAAAAAGATCCGAGTATTTGCAGATTTTTCAGCCAGATTAAATGACTGCCTTAAAGACCATACATACCCTTTACCTTCACCAGAAGATATTTTTTTCTAAGCTAAATGGTGGCAAAATGTTTTCTAAAATAGAAAGTGAAAGTAAATGAAGAGTGCTCAAAGTTATTAGCAATTAATACACACAAGGGACTCTACAAGCTAAATCATCTCCCATTTGGGTTAAAGGTGGCTCTCAGTTTGTTCCAGCAAATAATGGATACCATGTTAGTTGGGCTAGAATTTGCCATAGCGTACCTAGAGTGAAAACAATGAACAGCACAAAAAACATATCAAGGCAGTGTTCCAGAAGATTGACGAATATGGCTTCAAGCTAAGTTCAGATAAATGTGAGTTCTTCATGAAGCAGATCAAATATTTGGGGCAAATAATAGACTAGAATGGAAGAAGACTGGACCCAGAAATGGCTGAAGCTTTTAAAAATATGCCCCCACCAAACAACATCACTAATCTTCAGACGTTTTTAGGTTTGGCCAATTATTACAGTATCTATATTCCCAAAATGTATGATCTTAGAGCCCTATTGAATGACTTATTGAAAAAGGGTGCAAAATGTATTTGGTCTAAAGAATGTAAAAATGCTTTTCAGAAAATAAAAAGCTGTCTGGTATCAGATTTATCATTAGTGCATTTTGACCCTAAAAAAGAAATAATTGTAGCATCTGACGCTAGGAACTATGTGATTGGAGCGGTAATTCTCCACAAGTTTGAAGATGGGACTACAAAGCCCAGAGCTCATGCTTCCAGAACCCTGCTTCCTGCAGAAAGAAGTTATAGCTAGATCAAGAAGAAAAGCCTGGTTATAATTTGCTCTGTTAAAAAATTTCACAGGTTCATCCATGGAACGAAATTTACATTACAGACAGATCATAGACTGTTGTTAACAATTTTAAGATCAAGAAAGTATACCCACGCACACTGCTAACAGGTTACAGCAGTGGGCAATAATATTATTAAACTACAACTTTAAGATGGAATACCTACCCATGAAAAAAAACTACGACACGTCAACAGTTTGTCTAGATTGATTCCAAAATTTGCAGAACCGTTAAAAGACATGGTGATAGCTGCTTTAAAGGATTCAAAAGAATTATCAGTGTTACTATGCAATACAATTTGGGAGTTACCTATAACTCTAGAAGATATTAAAAAAAAAAGCAGTTGTGAAGAATGAATTCATTTTAAATAAAAAAAAAAAAAAAAAAAAAAAAAAAAAAAAAAAGGAAACAGGTATGGCTGAAAGAAAAACTTAAAAAAAAGGATCTAAAATCTCACGACGCTGGACCTATAAATGGTTACTACTACCTTTATAATTCTGGACAGTTTCTCCAAGTGGCTGGAAATATTCAAGTGTAGACACCTGACATCCACAAATACTATGAATGTACTGAATGAGCTTTTTAGTCGTTTTGGTGTACCAAAAACTTTAATTAATGACAACGGGACACATTTTAAGGATTTCTGCACATCTTTGTCCATAGACCACATTACAACTTCTGTTTACCATCCTAGATCAAATGGGCAAGCAGAAAGATTTGTGGACACCTTTAAAAGAGCTCTAAGAAAGAATCAAGGCATGGACACTGATGAGAGGAGTATACAAAAGTTTTTAGTGGTGTACAGAATTATTCCCAATTTGAACATAGATTCAGGCCTATCACCAGCGGAACTGATGTTTGAGAAAAATTCAGTCAGTGTTTGACAGGCTGTTGCTTAGTCCAGCGAAAAAGCAACCAAATTTTACAAACCAGAAATTATAGTGGTGGAAAAGGCTTCTGAGAAGACAGAATTATCACCAAAAGACTTGCTCAAAAGAAGATTTGAATGTAAGAGACATTTAAATCAGTTAAGGCCAAGACATATGAAAGATTTCACGCCTAGTGAAGAATTACCAATGTAGGTAATATATGACACATTCAAAATACCAGTTCCCATATCTCTACCAGTACCGATGAGAGTACCGCCAACACCGGAAGTATCAGCCCCCTGAAAACCACTAATGCCTCAAATCTCACCAGCACAAAAACTGGTGAGATGGAAAAGTACTAGGAAAAGGAAAAAGTCAAACAATTATGTCCTGACCCCAAAAGAAGAGGTATTGAGCAAAATTTCATGGGAAAATTAGCTCAGGAGTGGTGTTGTAATGGAATGTCCCACACTATCGCATATGTGGACTGACTATATCAGTAGTGTGTACAGGTTATACCTGGTGGACTTGCTTCAGCAATTAGTTGGAGATTTGCCTCCAGCTATGCTGGTCAAACTCTCTGCCTTTGGGTAGAGAGAAACCCAGACAAGGCTATGCCAAAGGGCAGTGTCTCATCTGTGATGGCAGACAGCTACCTGCTCCCATGTATACAGGGAATTTTTGCCCAAGCCTACAGGCTTGGTTCTACCCCGCATTAAAAAACAGTCTTGTGCCACATCCTGCTTTGCAGGGAGGTAAATAACCTTGCTTCGGGAATTAGTTGGAGATTCGTCTCCAGCTGTGCTGGTCAAACTCTCTGTCTCCGGGCAGAGAGGATCCGCAGACAAGACTATATCGAAGGGCAGGGTCTCTTCTCGGGGAAACAGCTACCTGACCCTGTTTTATACAGGGAATTTTTTGCCAGGTCTTGGATACCCCACGTTAAATTCAGCCTTGTGCCGCATCTGACCGTATGGGATTGGTGGTAAATATCCTTGCTTTGGGAATTACTAGTTTGCTAACCAATTCACTGTCTTTCAGTAGTGTATTCTCTTTTACAATAAACCTCTTGTTCTTTCATCTATGACTGTATTGCTGTTCCTTTCACTCGAGTACCACCTTTGTCTGTTTGTAATCTTTTTTTTTTTTTTTTTTGTGTGTGTAAATGACTCAGTTTTTTTGGGGGGTGGGGTTTCCAGGGGGTAAAATGTGAAAAAATAGTGAAAATTTTGCATTTAAATTAACTTTTTTTTTTTTTTAATCAGAAATCCTAAATCCTAATCATACTATTTAAGGCATAAAATTGAGAGCTTTGAAGGAAATCAACATTCCTAGGGGGTCAAAATGCGATAAAGTCCATTGGTAATTTTCAATTATATGACTACCAGGGGTTAAAAAAATTGACACCTGCCCACTGAAATCTTTAGTAAAAGGTGAAAGATTTATCTGCAATTCCTGACCACCAGAAACCAAAAGTTTTTTTGTTTTTTTTTTTTTTCAAAAAAAAAAAAATAGCAGCAATAAGGAAAATTAAGCCGAATTGACTTTGACATTTCTGGGTCAAAGTGCAGCCAGACAGCAATAAATGTTTAGAACAAGTTGTTGTCAGCTTGTAATAAAATCCACCACTCCCAGATGAGAGCAAATAGTTAAAAAAAAAAAAAAAAAGAGTCAACGTTGGTAGGGCTTGATATAAGGTTTGTTTGTTTGTTGTTTTTTTTCTCAAACCTATGTTTGAACAATGGCTTGATGTGTTTTGTTTTGTTTTTAACACCCCATGACCCGGGTGATGACAACAGCACTTAGCAGATGACATTGTTTTTTTTTTTTTCGCCACATGTCTTTCATATTTCCCATCACTGGGCCATTTAGCCGTTCCTTTTATTCAATGATGTTCATGCCAAATTAAAGAGAAAGGGATGAAGTTTGAATGATATTATTTTGAAGTGAAAATAAATATTTTTTTTTTTTTTTTTTTTTTTTTTTTGAAAAAAAAAGAATTTTTTTTTTTTTTTTTTCTTTCTCAGAAAATTGGGCATAATTTCTTAATGCTAACCACCAAGTGACATTTTCCACAGCCCAAATCAAAGATTAATTACCAGTGAATAATTCCATGTGCAAACAATAGCCGTTTGGATCCTATAACGTCACCCGAAAAGGTCCAGAAGTTTACTGTTTGATCGAAAACTTGTTGCGCATAATTGTTTTTCATGGTCAGTTTCCATTATTTCATCTTGATGTTGTCATTTTCAGACAGCCAAGTCATCAGGGATTAAGGCAAACAATTTGGCACAGGTTTGCATTAAGAACTTTACATTCTATGAGGTGTTTAAAATGTTACTGACGAATGGGATTTTTTGACGAATATTTCGTTTACACACCATGTTGGATTTTTCTATATGTCAAAAACAAGGGTTTTAAACAGCCATGAAAGTTCAGTAAGCATATTTGGGATAGTGCTTGACTAACGTTAAAATATCTGTTAAACTATCAATGCAATAATATTATCGCAGTTTTGAATTCCAATGTTTAATGGTTTTCTTAGATGCTGAATAAATAAAGCATTTTTTATAAAATAGTAAATTAAAGTTACCATCAAAATTAAAAACAGAGATAGAGTAAAATAAAAATGTTTTCTCTCCTAAATCTGTATTCTCCTTCATATTTTTAAAGTATTACAAGTTTAATTTAAATCTCTCTAATGAATGATCACTGTTTTAGATTCAGTTCAAAATTTGATAAAAATATCTCTCAAAACATTCATGCTTTTAAAATTATCATTTGATTTTAATTGGCAGATTTCCTTGTGTAATACAATAATTTTTTTTAGAACCAACTAGATATGTAGAATTTTTTAACATTCTAATAAACTTTGATTTTATAGGAGTATGAAGAACAACGTAAAAAGTATACGGAAGTTAAGAAACAACGAGATGAGATGTCTCAAGCAATGGCAAGTTTACGAGCAGAAGCTGCTCCTATGCAAAAAAAGTTGGATGCTATTCAGAGCAAAATTACACAAATTAGCCAACAGATGAAAACTACGGTGAGAAAATCTTTTCATACAGTTTTTATTATTATTTTCTACTCTGTTAGAAATGTACTTTTTTATGAGCCAAGAAAATCTTTTTTTTTTTTTTTTAGCTTGTATGAAAAATGCAAGTTTATCTTTGATCATTTTGTATTGCAGAGTAGTTGCATGTTGGATACAGCACAGCAGGTTGCAACTAATACAAAAGAGATTGAAGCAGAAACAGATAAAGTAAGGAAAAAAAAATATTTTTTTTTTTTTTTTTTTTTTTGTTGAGATTTTATTTTTATTCCTCTTATTATTTGTTCATATGTCAATTTACTTTTTTTGCTTTGTATGTAGATAACAGAAGCCCTTGATGATTTGAAATACAAAAACAAGAAGAAGAACAAGGCAGAAAAAAGTAAGTTTTTATTCAAAATAAACTTTGCCTATATACTAAGCAATATATTGTCAATATTATGTTTTTTCTTTTAACTTTTGTCCATTCATACTAATCTTTAGCAACAGAAAATACTTGAATATTAAATGTCTATTGAACTTTTTCTTATTTCTCTTGGAAAATGATTTTTCTATGGTGGAGTAATGGATGATGGCTTGGATTGAGGAATCAGAGAGCAGAGTTCAAATTCCAGTTGAATCCATTACATTCACTTATGTGCTAATACCCTTGGGAAAGGTAGGAATCCTCTTCTTCTCCTTCCAGCTATGGGTAAATAGCAGACAGACCAGGTTCCTTGCCTTGAATGACAACTGGTCTACCGCAGAAAGAAATGGCAACCTACTGCAGGAAAAAATCTGTCTTGTCAGCCATGTATTAAAAGATACAGGATTGCCTAAGCATGTATCATGCATGGCATATAACTGACTGATTTATGCAATTTAAGTGTTGTAAATATTTGATAATTAAAAAAAAAACTGTTCCATTTGACAAATAATCTTATAATTATTATGAACTGCATTATGAGTAATTGTGATTTGTTGTAGAATCCGAGAACTCAAGAGACAACTTGCTATCTATGAAAATCAATTGATGACTTTATCAGCTGAGGAAGATAATCAGGTGAGTAGGGGACAACTGAAATGTTATCTTTCTATTGTTTGAAATTTATATATTTCATGTTGAAAACTATTGTAATATTAAAAATTACTGTTTCAATTTTGTGCATTTCTTAAGAACAGTTATAAAGGATATTAATATTCATACGAATTTCTAACTTTTTGTTTTTTAAATATTTAATGTCCTATTGCCTACTGCTGGTTAAATTTTGTAGTAATGTTTTGTTGTTGTTACCAATTGTCAATATCATGTTTGAAGAAAATCTTCTTTTTTTTTTTTTTTCCCCTTCAAATCTTGTTAATACTTATACATTTTTAGCCAGCAATAGAGAATACAAATTGTAACATTCAGCAATTAACTCATCAACTGACCAAGCTGCACTCTGACAAGGCAGGCATAAGTGATGAGATCAGAATGATCAATGCTTCTTTAAAAGGTTTGTATATGTTATTTAATTCAATGTCACTTCATATAGCTGTTCTGTCAAATATGTTGCAATTGTTTTACAATAAATGAGTTAAAAAAAAAAAAAAATGAACTATACTTCCAATTTGGAAATTTCATTTGCTGAATTGTTATATTAATAAATTCTTAGTACTATAACATGAAAAAAAATAAGTTTTGAGTTCTGTTAATAAAATAAGTGTATCAAGGTGACCCTTAACACAGGCCTATACAGCTCATGTAACTCTTCAGGAAATTAAATAACTGTCAACGTGAAAATTTGTTGCTGGAATTGGATTAAGTAATTAAGTTTTTTTTGTGTTTTTTTTGTTTTGTTTTTTTTAAAGAGATTTTTATTTTTACCTTTTGGATTAAGTTAAGTTTATTATTCAAGATAGTAATGTTTTTATTTTACTTTTTTATTTGAACTTGTAATATTTTATCTTTAAACAAACTTTTTTTAAGAATTTTGTCACCAAAAATAAAAAGTTAATATAATATTTTTCGCTATGCTATTGTTCTTCAACAATGATGATATTAAGTTTAAAATTAATTTTTTTATAAATAATTTATGTTTTGCTTTAATAAACAGGTATCATATTTTTTTAAAAAGTATGTTGAATTTTTCTGTTATTTGTAAATAAACGGAAGATATTAAAAACAAAACTAACACTTTTCACTGTGAAATTAATGAAAAATATTACCTGTTATCACAAAGTTAATGTCAAAAATTAAATTCAATAAATTTAATATTTTACTACTATTAAAAATATACAACAAAAATGTCACGGATAAGACATTGTCTTGTCAATATTGTCTTTCTCTTTTTTTACATTTTTTGATTATTTTAAACAGCAAAATGCACAAAAAATTTCATTAAGAATTTTCGCACAGAGAGTTATTTTTTTTTTCCTTATGCTCTTATTCTTCATAATAACAAGTACCTTGATTATAAAATTCATTTTTTGAGGAATTGTGTTTTCTTTATAACACATATATATCACCCTTGTAAGAAAACAAAAAAATGAATGTAATTTTCAAAAATGAATACAGAAATTTGTGCATTTGAGAAAATTTGAATAAAAATTTAATTTAATATTTTTTCTATGATATTATTCTTCATAATAAACATTGATTGAAAAAGAATAATTACTTACACCATGGGTATTTTTTTTAAAAAAAAAAATGTATGTTGAATTTTACTAGCATTCTTGTTAAAAATGTAAAACAAAAAATTTAACCAATTTAATATTTAAAAAAAAAATATACTGTAAAAATATTAAACTGGTTATTTGTTTAGATGATCATATTTTATAGGAAGGGAGGTGATCGATTCCCCCTCCCCACCATAAAATACAATTATCCCAAAATTTTAACGAGTTCACTATATAACTTCAATATAAAACAGACCCGGACCAGTGAAACAATCTGAAAATCCTTTGGAACCACGTAAATCCTTAAAGACAACAGAAAGTAACATAAGATGACAAATTCCCACATTCATACAAACTTTAAAATTCTTAATTCTGAATCCTAAACCCTCCAGACCTTAGAATATAAGGTTCATACACTTTTTAAAAGCACCATGTAATTTTTACAAAATAATATTTTAAGTTAATATTTTTTTAATTTTAGTAACCCAAAATCTTACACAATACTTTTTTTACCATATTGAGAAACAGGTTGTCGTGTTGACTATGATTAACAAAATAAAATTTGTATTTTATCTTCCTCAAGATCAAAATGAGTGAGAACAGTGGTTAAAGGCAATGTCTCAAGACAACACCACTGACAAACCAAACATTGTTGTTTGTGAAAGGCATTTTCCATCTGATTATGAAACAGTGGTTATTACAAGAAAATTATGACCCAAAAATCCACCATCAATATTTGATCATTTGCCATAAGTGTTACTTAGTCCTCAACCAAAACCAATAAACAAAATTTCAGCTTCTGTGCAAAATGAGTTGGCGCAGTTTCTAGAAAAGGACAAAATCTTCACTTTTGAAAAAATTGTATCGGATCAACAGGATTTTGTGTCAGCAGTTACATGCTATAAATCATATAATCAGCTGTTCTTCCAATCTGTTGATTTTTTTTTTTTTTTTTTTTCTGGAAGTATTCCATTGTTTTTAATTAAAATTTTTGAAAACTTGAGATTTGAATGTTACATTGCTGGTATATGGTGGACTCTCCTATTGTTGAACAATAAATGAGGGTCAGCATTGCATGGTGCCTTTTGTTTTACATTTATACATGCTAGCAGAGGCTACTGTGGAGAAAATAAGGTAAGAAAAAGATATTTCATTTGTGCTTTCTTAAGTATGATACTAGCCCAGCCTTGCTGTGGGCGACAAAGCCACACTGACAGATGAAATTTGTTAAAGCAGGATTTTAATGGCATCTCTGCTTCAGAGCTTGACTAAACTGATCACAGTGCTTCAGTCTACTGTCTTCAAAACCCTTTAACTTAATGAAACATGTCTTATGCCACTCCTTTCAGTTTGATGCTTGGGTTTCCCAGGTTTTCAGATCAAAGTTAAGACATTTCAAGTTGTCTTTCAATTTATCTTTGTAGCATAAGAGTGGCCATCCAATTGGAGTTTGGTAGTTGTCCATACAGCACTTTCTTTGGAAGCCTATGCTCATCCATTCTCACAACATGACCAGCCCACCTAAGTTCTATCTTTGCTAGAATGGTTTCAATGCCTGTGATGTTGTTACATTTCTTCAGTATTATTCCTGACCCTGTCATCCCATTTTATATCATATATTGCACAAAGACAGTGCATGTTAAATGTATCAAGTTGATTTATGTGCTTGCAGTACAGGGTCCAAGTTTCAGCACCAGGGTTGAGAGAATGACTGATCTGTATATGTTGATCTTTACTCTGAGAGACACATCTTTAGTGTTCCTAACTTGTGTTTAAGTTTACTGAATACTGTGCTGGATTTGGCTATTCTGGATTGGATTCCTCTGTCCATTTTTCCATCAGAAGAGACTGTTGATCCAAGATATGTGAATGTCTCAACAGTTTTTAATGCTGTACCATCGATGAATACGGAAGGATTTGTGAGATGGATTGCCTGGTACTGGCTGTTACATTAACTCAGTCTTCTTTATGTTGATAGTGAGTCCAAATGCTTTCGCTGTTTCAGAGAATTTATCATGGATAGTTTGAATGTCTTCCAGACTGTGGCATCATCTGCAAAGGGAGGATCGTGTACCAGCTGCACACTGAGTTTCTATTCTGCTTTAAAACGTTGCTGATTGTATAGACCTCCACTTGTTCTGAATTCAACATTGACTCCTTCACTTAAGTCAGAGAATGCTTTTTCAAGCATAGCAGCAAAGAGAAGAGGAGCAAGAACACAATCTTGCTTTATACTGTTGGAGACGGAAAAATATTAATTGCTCACTTCCCAACCTTAAAAAAAATAAATTCCTTTTGGATGTGTGGAGCATTTTTTCTGGAACACCTAATTTTGACAAAACTTTCCAAAGAGCAATTCAAGATACATTATTGAAAGCCTTCGTGAAGTCTACAAAGACAAGAAAAATAGATATAACAATTTTTTTTCTCTTTCAAAAAGCCAAATATCAATATTTCAACACTGGTCACAAATCAATAAAGCAATTCTTTATCTTAGTAACTTAAAATTGATAATAAAAAAATTAAAAAACATAATGTTATGTCACCACAAAGGATTGGGACAAAATATTATGATTCTGATATTCTTATCAGGGCATTTGAATATTTTGTTACATTTTGATCATTATATAACAGGCTTCAGGATGATTTTAAGTTACCAAGTGTAAGAACATTATCAGCTTTGACATCAGAAGTTTCAAAATTAGATGACTTTCATTTTCTTGGTGATATTTTAGTAAAATCTATGAAAATCAAAATAAGTGTATTCTTTTTGATGATGAAGTGTATGCCAAGGTTGCTCTACAATATCATGGAGGAAATTTATTTGGTTTTTCTGAAAATTTTGAGGGCATCATGTTTAAATGGAGGACCCAAAATTTTATTTAAAAATCATCCCCGTTGCAAAATTAGAGGCAAGTTTTTCATATGAAAAAAATGTATATATTGTTGATGCAATCAAACTCAAATAATTGCAGTTGTATTTAACAATGACGGGACTCATCAATCTTTTATTTTTTTAAAATTACATTGTTTTTAATAATCTTTAAATAGCTAAAAACAGCTTGTATTTACTTTTTGATTATGTCCACCTTTTTAAAAATATTTGGAATAACTGGATTACTGAACCTACTTCTGAATTATTGTTTTATTATGAAGGCAAGAAGGTGACAACAAAATGGGAAATTGTAAAAGGTCTTTTTGAGTATGAAAAACCTCAATTTGTTAAGCTGTCAAAACAACTGATGTAGCAATTTACCCAAAATCTGTTGAGCAACAAAATGTTTACCATTGTTTAAAAGTTTTTTGTGAGCAAACTGGAGCTGCCATTAAAACACACCCATTATTAAATGGCAAGTATACTGCAGAAACAGATAATTTCATTGAAAAAGTTAAAATTTTGGAAAATTGTCTGTATCAAAAAAATATATGGTGATACTAAGAACAACGATCCACTGCAAAAGATATCAGATTTAGATGATTTATTATTTCTTTCTAATTCTGGAAAAAATGAATGGGAGGAAATCAAACAAAAAGAATGAAATCATTAACAAGTGATACTATCAGGTCATCCCATAAGTTCGGTCTGAATTTTAACTTTTTGTTAAAATGAACAAAATTTAAAGAGTATTTTATAATGTCTAATGGAGCTGAACATTATTTTTATGTTTAGATGCATTTAAACTGATCAAATTTTATTTCAGAGAACAATAAAATTAAATTTTGTTTGATTAAAACCCTGCTAACATGGAAGTACCCAAGAATCATTTGAGGCACATAATGCTTTATGAGTTCAAGAAAGGAAACTCAGCAGCCGAAGTGGCTAGAAACATTCACTCAGTTTATGGAGAGGAATGTGTCAATGAAAGAACTTGCAGAAGATTGTTTGCAAAATTCAGAGGTGGAGATTTCACCCTTGAAGATGAAGATCAAACTGGACGTCCAGTTGAGTTTGATGAAAAGCTTCTTGAAGCAGCCCTTGAAGAAAATCCTGCTTTATCAGTTGAGGAATTGGCAGTGGTTCTCAGTTCAAACTATACAACTGTTCATCGTCATCTTCAACAACTTGGAAAAGTTGCTAAATTTGGAAAATGGGTGCCTCATGAATTGTCTGAAAACAACCTCAAATCCTGAGTTGACATCTGCTCTTCTCTCCATTCTCGCCAACTTGTTTCACCTTTTTTGGATAGAATTGTGACTGGCGGCGAAAAATGGATCTTTTATCGAAATGTTAAGCGTCATAGACAGTGGCTTGGTAAAGGGGAAGGACCCCAGCCACAGCCGAGAAGGGAACTTCATGGGCAAAAGGTTCTTCTTTCAATTTGGTGGGATCACCAAGGAATAATCCACTTTGAATTCTTACCACCTAATGCAACAATTAATGCTCAAATATACTGTCAGCAATTAGAGCGTTTGAACCAAGCTTTGAGGAAAAAAAAGACCTGCTCTAGTGAATCGAAAAGGGGTGATGTTTCATCAGGACAATGCGCGACCCCACACAGCAAGAATCACGTCACAAAAGATCAAAGAACTTGGTTGGGAGAAAATTCCTCATCCACCTTATTCTCCCGATCTTGCTCCTTCAGACTACCATTTGTTTCGTAGCTTACAGAATCATTTGGAAGAAACAGCTTTTGTCACACAGGAAGAGGTTAAAACTGACATTTGTGAGTTCTTTGAATCAAAGCCAAAAGAATTTTACAGTAATGGAATTAGTAAGGTTGTTAATAGATGGAAGGAAGTCATAGATAATCAGGGAAAATACATTGTTGATTGAATCTGTAATTAAATGTAACATTTGGTCACTTGTTTTCTTTATTCAAAATTCGGACAGAACTTATGGGATGATCTGATAGTTTAGCCATTGAACATGCATGCAAAGGCTTATTGATGTTTGTAGATATTTGCCAAATAGTAGGTTTAATTTTGTTATGTTTGGTGAATTTATCACAGACTATTTAGAAAATGAATTTGGAAAAAAGTTCCAGAGGTACATATTTTATAACAGTTCAAAATGTTATTGAAAAATTTCACTAATGAAAAAATTAAAACTACTACTTAAATTAAATGTTGAAATCAAAGACTACAATTTTGATCTAGGCCATAGTTGTTCAAAATGTGAACATTTGCTGGATGAAATGGGATGCCAAAAAATTGATACTTACCACACCTTGAAACTAGTATCCCTAAAGATATTAAAATCTCACTTTTGTATATAGCAGACCATGTTACAAGAAAAGATTGTCCCACAGAATAGGAAATATTTAATAATATTAGTTTTTATTTTCAAGAATATGGATATTTTAATATGGTAATTTGAAAATTCCACTGGCTACCACAGGGATACCAGATATTTTTTATTTTCAATTTTTCCTCTTTTTACATATATTTAATTAGTTAACTCCACAATTTTTTTTGTTAATTAATTTTGTATTCTTGTTATTGTAAATTGATTTTAATTTTTAACACTATGCGTACTGGTAATATCTATTATGGTATCATTGCGAAATAAATATTTTCTTTATCTTCTGCAAAACAAATTGTACATGTAACAAAAATCACAATAAATTTATTAAAGATTATCAAAATTATTGTTTCTCCGAAATTCTCATTTTTTGTAAAGTATTTTCAGGCTTTGTTGATACATAATTTTGTAAAATGCTGAAATTGCTTTCTGATTGTATTATACAATTATGTTTTTGTAATCAATTAGTATAAACAAATTAACTCATTATTTTTGCAATATCATCTTAAAATGTCTAATTTATAGTGAATAAAGTGATTTTTGTGCATTTAGTTGTTTTATGGTATTTTTATTTTTTGTACATTTGCATTTATGGAGATAAGTCAATTATAAGATGCTTCCTAATATTATATATAGTTAATTAAATAATTACTGGACATTACTAGCAAGTTCCTTGCTAATAATGTTCTCATTAATTGTTGTTTGGTAGTAATTTAGGTCTGCATATGTCCGCCCCTAGTCATTGACCTCAGTTGCATGGTTGCCAAGCTTGGTATAAAGATTGACTGAAATATATCAATTAAGTTTATTTTTTTAACAAACATAGCATTAAAGTGATTAAATGCATATACTCAAGTCAAGAATAAGTAGTCAGAAATCTGTTTCTAATTTTTGTTTTTTGTCATATACTGTAAGGTATGTGAACCATTTTACTGGAAAATATATACTTATATCTTGATATCACATCTCGTTTTATTTTTAAAACTAGACATAATTTAAAAACATAGATATTCTTTTCTAACATTTGATGCAAATAAGCCTTATGTTTACCTAAAATAAAAATGCAATATGGTTCATATACTGAGTTCTTTGTTGAATGGATTAAGAAATAATAATAAATGCAATATTATTTCTTTTTTCTTTTCTAAATTAATTCTTTAATTGTATTAGGTGATGAGTATTAACTGGTTCAAACTTGAATTGGAACTATTTTTCATATTAACAAACATTTTTTTTTCTTAATAGAATTCTATTTTTGAAATTGCTTTCACATAAAGAATAAAGTCTGAGAAATTTTCAATTTATTTCTCTATTCATTAACTTTAATATCTTTACAGAACATGTCCAGTCCCTCCAGCACCTTCATGATATTGCTAACATCCGGTTGCAGGCCTTGAGAGACCGGCATAAAAATACTTACATGGCTGTTGTTTGGTTACGAGAGAATAAACATTTATTTAAAAATACAATTCATGAGCCTATCATGCTTCAGGTAAGTAGTCGTCTAAGTATAAAGTTTAAACAAAAAGATTTTTTTGTTGTTCTGAGTAGTTAAGGCTATATGCAAGCATTAGTTTTTGCCTACTGCATCATTTGTTATGTTTTAATAAATTCACTTGGATTTATTCTCTATATTTCTACACAGATCAATATGAAGAACCCATCTGATGCCAAGTTTCTTGAAAATCATATCTCTTTTAATGATATGCGTTCATTTGTATGTGAGGATGCCGATGACATGGACTTATTTTTATCAAAGATTCGAGATGAACAGAAATTAAAAATTAATTGTGTGAAAAGTCCATCCAAACAATTGTCTCAGTTTCAACCTAGAATTCCATTAGCACATTTACAGTAAGTCTTTTTGTATTTTTTATTCTTTCTGCTTAGTACTGATGTTTGTTTATGCAAACAAAATATATAGATATACTCTTGAGAACAATTTTAGGGGAAAGAAGTATGTGAAAGTGGTATATAACATGTTTCATCCTTTAGGCCTTCATCAGGTTAAATTCATGTTTATGTACGACACATGCATGAAGGAAAGAAGGGGGATACTGAGAATTTTAAATTAAAATTTTTTCTTTTAATTTAATGTTTTGGCAATATAATCTAACTGATTTCATTTAGATTCTTTTTCCTTTTCTTTGTTTCTATCTTTGTTACTAAATATCACACATTGTGATAATAGATCTGCCAAGAATGGTGAAACATGTAAGAACCTGGATGTAAATATACTATGGATGTTCTAGTGATTAAAGCATTTTCTAAACATTTTCATCTTAGTAAATTTCCTCTTTTAATTAGAGTAACATTTTTTAAATCAAAATTGTGATCTCTATTGTTATGGTGAGCAACAAATGCATTATGTTGTTTTGTAAAAGATCCATTTCGTGTTCTTGTAATCTTTTATTTAAATTCCTTGAGGTTATCCTTGTGGCAATTATTGCAGGTAATAGAATAAATTCCTCCTTCAAGTTTTAGCTTAATATTTTGCTTTGTATTAAGTCTTATTGGTTTAGACATAGTTGTGACAAATTTTATGTTGAGTTTAGATAAATTCTTTTCAGTTGTAGCTGTAATGAAGTTGGTGAATAGAACAATATATTTAGTTCATTGGCTTGGTCAGAGAGGACCACTTTTCTATTTTAAAATATTTTGTGAGCCTTTTGTTTCACATTGAATATAAAATAATTAGGGTATTGGAGGACCTTTAAAAGTATTTTTCCTCTTGATGTAAGTACTGAAATCTAAAAATTCTAAGTGCTCTTGAATCGAATCCAGTAATTATTCTGGATTTTATTTTGTTATGATGAAAATAGAAATTTATAAGATCATTTTTCAGTCAATCATATTTGTTTCCCTTAGTTTTTCAATGAGGTTGCCTGAATTTTTTATGTGATGGGCCGATTGTTCAGAGGAGGAGGGTTAAAATCGTTGTGGCTTTTGCTGCCAATGATTGAGATAATTGGGTGCATTGGGATGCCTTTTTTGTGAGTTTTAGGGAAAATGTAAAGAATTGGGTGTATGCTAGGATTTGTTTTCATTTTTAATTAGTTTCCTAATCATTCTACTAAATTTTTGTTTCAGAAATTGTTTTTATTTTATTTCTTCATGTGTCCATATCATTGAATAGTAAATTAATTTTATCATTGTATGTGTTCTTATTCATAATCCCACATCAACATAAACTTAAAATTTAGTCTGATGTTTTAAAGGACAAAATGTGTTGCACAAAAACTTTTCTAATTTGTCATATATCTATATATATATATATATATATATAATGAGTTTAGCCTAACAAAAATGACCTTGGTGGCCCCTTATAAATGAAGGCACCACAGCATTTTTTTTAGAATTAGCAAAATGGATGTTTTTTATTTTTAAAAAGTATTATTAATATAAAATCTTTAAAAAATTGATAAAAATAAACAGAAAGCTGTAAAATCAAATATTTTTATTGACAAATAACATAAATTATGATGACTAAATTAATTAACAATGATAGATTGCAATTGAATATTTTCAAAAAAAGAAATCAAATCAATCATTATTAGCTTAGAATATGTTATGAAAAGAATGAGAATGTTGTATTACTGTATAAAAATATAAAGCTTTTTCAGCATAAAATCAAAATAACTATCGAAACAAAAGATATATATACAGTAAATGTCAAAATGATCCTTTACTTTCCGACATGAATATGAATTTCTTATAGATAAAAATATTTTCACGATTGATTTTTGTTGCCTAGCATTCAGAACTTCCTCTACTCAGACAATGTCAGAATTTAAAAACATTAATTTTCTATTATTTTAAATTAGAGGTTCTGTTTACAATATAAATACAACATCAAACTGATCCCTGACTTTTTGACATGTAGTTTTCTTTTCTTTTCGAGAGGAGTAGTCTATATAAGTATTGCCGTTTCAAAATGAAAAGTATTATTACTATGTAATGTATGTATATATATATGATGTTCATTTCATTTCCAGTAGACATAAATGTTACAAGATTGAACCTAGGTACCTCCAAAAATACGTATACCTAAGGTTTAAATGTAATTTTCATAAAGGAAAAATCCTTTTTGAAGCTTTCCCCCAGCTTCAATTGAAAGCTAAAGGATTAAATTTTCTAATTCCAGAAAAAAAAAACACTGTGGAGTATTTCAAATAGAAAATTGAATGATTTTTAGTCAATGCTTTCAAAAACCAATCGAAACAGCCATTTTTAACTTTTTTAGAGAAATGTAAACAAAATGTATTTTTCGGTTTTGAAAATCCCACTAAAATAAAATATACATTTCTGAAACATTACTTTCATAAAATTAACAAATTTAAAGTTAAATTAATCTGTTCTGAAACAAATATCACTTATAGCATAAAATTTTCTAGACAAATATTTCTTGACCTCGGAGTCTTGTTATTTTCATGTCTTCATCAATAATTTGATGGCCAACTGTATTGACAGGTTTAGTATGGTGCACCAGAAATGACATAAATTTATGAATTCTAAATAAGAATGTTTTTTTTGTACAATAATTTTAAAAACTATAAAAATTTCTTATATTATTGAGTTAACTCTATAATGGTATTTCATTATTTAATAGCTAAGATAATGATAAATAATTTTATTAATTATTAATATTGCATTATTACATTTTTAATTTAATAACTGAGATAATAATTAATAAAATTATTATATTAATAATTAAATTATCTCACTAGGTATCACAGATGAAAATTTCAAACAGGTACTAGGTGTTATTTGATTGCATCTTCTTAATCTACATGATTAAAGAAACTTAGCAGTTTTTATTTCATCAAAATATCTCAAACCGTTTAATTTTGGCAGATTTATTTTTATTTTTACACATGTGCTCGACTTAGTCATTTTTTGTTTATTATGAATTAGGACAAAATACCATATTTGGACTCCTATATAAAATATAGGCAATTAAGAACAACAGTTAAAATTATACTAGCTTGTTAGGTACATAACAAAGAAATTAATAATAAAATTATAGATACTATCACTGTATATTTCTTAAATAAATTCAGTCTGAATATGCAAATTTTATAAATCAAACCCTCTGCAACGACGTGCAAACAATTCATGACCTGAGGTTTGACATTTCATAAAACTGGAAATAAGACCCACATTCATACCAAATTTCAAATATCACATTATGACTATACTAGTAACATGCCTAATTTTGGTGGGAGTGATATATACTGGATTATTTCACTTCAAAATTGAAAAAAATTGCTTTTTAACCCTTTGTCAAGATATTTGAAAGGCTGATTTTAGACTGAAGAAACACCAAATTTCATATCTTTAAAATTATACTAGCTTGTTAGGTACATAACAAAGAAATTGAATTATCACTGTATATTTCTTAAATAAAATGAATAAACAATTCATGACCTGAGGTTTGAATTTCATAAAACTGGAAATAAGACCCACATTCACCAAATTTCAAATATCATATTATGACTAGCCAATTTTGGTGGGGAGTGATATATACTGGATTATTTCACTTCAAAATTGAAAAAATTGCTTTTTAACCCTTTTGTCAAGATATTTTTCCTGATTTATCATAAAATAAAATTCTTACACTAGAAACACAAATTTCATATCTAGCCATTTAAACAATCATGGTTAAATTGACCAGATGCTAAACAAGTACAATCCTGACTCAACATGTACAATTTCTGGAGTGTAGAGAGAGAGAATCTTAACACATGCCAAGCAATACCCACTAATGAACATAAGAGAACAACAGAAAACTCACCATATCATGAAGTGGTATTCAACCACTAAATTTGTAACTGAAATCATTAAAATAAAAATATTTTATCTGTTACAATTTGATCAAAAGGTTGAAGTTCTGATACATGTTAGTTCCGATCACTATGTAAGCGGTATGAAATCACCCAATAGTCTCAATTTTTAAACTGTAATGTTCCTCTCACATTATGCACATAAAAATAAACAACACAGACATAAAATTAATCAAATAAAGTTTATTTGGAAATTTTCAGTAATGGTGGTCTGGGTGTTGGTAACTGAAATGCTGATAATTATTGTGAGAATACTGCAAAAATATAAAAGACATTCTAGAATTTTTTTTTGCATTTTTTTTTTTTTTATCTCATTCTTTGAATATGAACATTTTTCGATCAATAAGTCCTACATTTTTTGGTTTTTTTTGTGATCATATTTGAGCGTAAAGTAAACAAATTGATTTTTGTTTCATGTTTTTTATGATGAAAACGGTTTCTAAATCCCATTTACATTTTGCATATCAGAGAAAATTAATATTTAAAACAAATTCTTACCAATTTCCTTGAAAATTTCATCCATAGAAAACATGCTGGTCGATTCTTGGGTGTCCGTGTTGACACTGTGTATTGACTGTCGCACAGAGTTTAAGTGATGGCCGAGAAAGTCACACATGATTACATATAATTGCACACGTGCAAAATGGAGCTATTGTTTCATATTTGATTTTGATTTAGTTTCATACATTATTAAATGAGCATTTTAATGATATATTTCATGTGTTTTTATTTTTACAAGGAGCATTTGAATTTTATGATCAAACTTTTCATTTGAATTGTTTACAAACTTATGAAAATGAAGCTTAGAATGTTAACTTTCGAACTAACGTATTACCAAAATTGTAATAAACCCTGCGGAGTGAGCATGTTACAAAATCTGAGGAAGTCTAAACTGCCGTCTGAAAAAAATGGCTAAAATTTTGCGAAATCACCAAAATGTCTCTATTTTCAAACTGTAATGTCCCTTGCACACTGTAGTACATATAAAAATAAATAAGATAGAAACAAAGTTCATGAAATCAGCTTTTATTTGGTATGCATTATGTTTTTATGGAGATATTGAATGAAATAACACAGCGAGTTGAATATATGCCTTTTTTAGTGTTTAGTTAAGAATTTCATCGGCTATAAGCTGAGTGCTGGGATACCTAATCTCACTCAGTTATTAATTGTTTGAATTGATAAATGAGATAATTTTATTAAAATTTGAAAGTTTCATTAAAATGAGACAATTATTTAATTTTTGCAAGAATTTCCAAATTAATGTGCTTTTCACTGGAAACTGCTACACTAAAAATGTACATTACCAAAAATGTCTTACAAAATTGACCAAAAAAAAAAAAAAAGATTTTTTTACCCAAATTTAGAACATATTAGAAAGGAGGAAAAATTTTAAAAAAATACTTTCTTTCCTATTAATAATAAATGTAACTTTTTTTTTATATATATATATATATATATTTTGAAGGCAAAAATTACTTTGGAACTGGTTTGTTTTTTAAGGACACCTTGGCATAAACTCATCACTGTGTGTGTGATGGTTGAAAAGTAACTTTCCATTTTAAAATACTTATAATTTATTTATTAACTATAATTTTTACAAGAAATGGTTATGAGGTTTTATTTCAAATTCGATACGTCCACCAGATTTCACTGCCAGCTTCTCAAGCTGCCAACTGATTTCACCAGGTGCTCTTGTGGGATGGAAGACATAACTTTTTGTATTTGCCCTTTCATGTTCTTCCAAAGTCTTTGGTTTGGTATAAGTAGACTTGCTCCCTTAACCAACTCGAAGGAAAAAAGTTACAGGGTATTAAGTCAGGACTCCTGACTGGACAGTCATACAGACCAAGATGACCCATCCATCTCCCAGGGAAGTGGACATTCAGCCATTCATGAACGGCAATAGCAAAATCTGGAGGGGCACTATTTTGCATGAAAATCAAATCTTCAACATTCTCCCAAGCACTGATACCTGGCCAAATTTCATTTTGAAGCATGGTAAGGTACCTTTTGGTATTCATGGTATTGTGAAGAATGAATGGACCTACAATCTTGTCCGAAGTCATTCCACACCACACCATTACTTTGGGCTGATTCTGCATTTTTTTTCAGAGATAACAAGAGGATCTTTGCCTGCCCAATAGTGGCAGTTGTGATGGTTCACAAACCTACTAATGTGAAATATCACTTCATCACTCCAGAGAATATTTTTAAAGTGATCTTACCAATCTTCATACCAAGCCAGCATATTCTCCCCAAACTCCATGCAAATGTTGCAGTCTTCAGCAAAGAGTGATTGGCAGTAGTGTGGCTTCCAATCATGCCATTTAAACTCATTGAGCACAGTTCATATTGTGTGAAAGGAGAGCCCACTTCCCTTTGCTGCTTGCTGAATTGACTTTCTTGGCTTACATATAAACATTTCTTAAACTGTTTGTACTGTCTCCTGGCCACTGGACTTGAAAGGGCAACCACTTTTTCCAGTATCAACTACATACCCTGTTTTGCATGATAATTCTTGATTGTCTTTGTGTCAACTTGAGCATGTACTCCTCGAATGGTCCTCCACCATCTTTGCACTTAAACAACAGATTTCTAAACTTCATAACATGCTGGTAGCTGTGCATGCTCCTGCAGGATAAGACATTCATCCATGTTTGTAGGGCTTCCAAATTTCAAACAAACTAATCGTTCTGAAATGACAGATACAAACAGATTAAATTCTCATACATTAAAAATCAAACACAAAAAATTCACAACAAAAATCACAATAAATAAATAATTTATAATTATTTTAAAATAGGGATTTACTTTTCAATCAACCCGTGTGTATGTGTGTGTATGTATTGCTCATATACTTGCTAAAGATTTTGAAATTACTGCTACTTAAACATAAAACTGTTTAGTTTGAAGATAGCTATTGGGAATTACTTTGGGTACATCTCTTAACTTTTTAGTCAAAACTATTTACATCTTCCAGTAATAAACAAGTACACAATGTTCAAAACTATGCAAAAGTTTTCTATTTTCTTCATAACTCTTAGATATAGATTATATGATAATTTTTATGTGACAATTATGCACATACTGTTAGAACAAATTAACTTTAAGTTAAATAATTCTTTCTTATTAATGATGCTTAAAATCTTTTCATATCAGATTTGTTGATAATATTACAGTTTTACTTTTAACAAATAATTGTCTACAAGGCTTTAAATTTTTTCTATGTGATATGTTCTGAGATTATGACAATGTATGTTGAAAGTTGTTTAAAAGTTGTTTTTATTGTTTCTTTCAATGCAGCAAAACCTTTAAAATTGAACAATTGACTCTTCATATTAGATTGTTTATTTGTTCAAAAAGATAATGAAACTGATTGAAAATGTTGCCCAGTGTTATTTAGGACAATACAAAAAACTGTTTTCTACTCAGGCAAATAATGTTGTTCTTCTTTCTTTTGTGTCATGTCCTTTCAGGACATGGGCGATCATTGCCCTTTACTCTTTGCTTTTTTACTCTATGTAAGCTTTGACTCTTTATTATCCATTTTTATCTTTATACTACCATCCATTACACAAACTCAAAACTCATACAAAAATAGTTTACTTGTTGTTTCCTCCTGTTTCTCTGGTCATCAGTATGTCTTCTGAGTGTTAAATTCTCTATGCCCTCTTTTCTCATTGTTCTAGAAATTTCAGATGTTGCTTTCACATTAGCTATAAGTTTCTTTATTGTTCCAGTTTTCCATAAAACTTCCTGATCACACATGTGCCATCCATTGCATTCTCAGCATTTGTCAGTAGAACTCCATCTATGTCACTTCTATAATAAGAATTTCCAGAATTCATTGTCATATTATATTTTACATAGCAATCTTGTACTTTTTCATTTTTTTCTAAGGATATTTTTCTATCTCTTAATACTTAGTTTCTTTAACTATTCTTATGAGCCTTCAGATTTCTATTACATTTCCTGTTGTTTCCTTCTTATATAGTCCTATTTTTCTTGATTTCCTTTACTACCTTGTCTAAGGTTGCTTCAGTTTTTCCTTTTGAGTTTGCCACCAACAGAGTTTAATCCACATATATCATACTGGTAGGTTTCCTAATATTTTAGAATTGTCCCGCTCTATAGGATAAATAAGTTTGGTGAGAAAACACATCCTTGTCTTACTCTGTTTTTGTGTATTCACAGAATTCATTCTCTATCCATATGCAGCTGTTTGTTCCCAATAAAGATCATGGCTTACTTGAATATCTTATCTCTGTAAATCAAGATTTTATAATATTTCAAGTAACTCTTTGCATAATACCTTAGCAAATGCTTTCATAGAATCGATAAAACAAAGGTATAGTCTATCTGCATTTGTATTGCTTGCTCTCATAGCATTCTGATCATGAATATAGCATTTCTTGTTCTTGTATCTTAAATAACACCACACTGTTCTTCCCTATTTCCAAGCTAATTCTGCCACAAGTTCTGTTAAAATCTTAATGATAAGTGTAGTTTTATCGCTCATCAATAAGGTTTGCATTTCTTTCCGCATGCATGGTTGTCACTTGTGATGTCCCCATTGTTTATCCATCCAGTTACTGATACTCCAGAATGTTGATATTTAATCTTTCTATTTCCTGTTTGGCATCTTCTGACTTCCCCACATTGGTACAGTGTCCTAACGTGCCATGTGTTGTTTGGGAAATTTCATTCTTTCAGAAAATAAAACCTGCTGCAACAGTATTTTCACTATTGCCCGAATTAATAACGAAAAAGAAAGAAAGAAAAAAATGAAAATCAGATTCAATTACAAAGAAAAAATATTTATTTATTTCTAACCAGCTAAATAAGGTTTCTTGCAAAATTCGTCCCTTTTTGCTGAGAATTAAAAAAAAACCCTATTCTCTGATGTAAAAAAGCATAGCAGAAAACAAACTTAAAAATTACAATGCACCAAAAAAAGAATAGCACCCACCTGCTGTGTCAATAATAACAATAAAAAGGGGGAGAGCCTTAGCTCTACAGTACACTTTCAGTCCTTTCAAGGTTCAAAAGTTTTTATCTATTTTCTTTTCTCTCTTGTGTAGACAAGGTTCTCTTCTTGGTGACCAAACTCCTTTCTTTCTTCACTTATTTTCCTCCTGTCTGCCTGGAAATTGCGCCTTCCTTTTACAGCCGCTAGAAGGTGAAAATTTACTTAAACACACACATTTAACCCAGTAGCAAAATCTTTGTTATCCAGTTTAATAAATTGATTAATGCTTTACTGAATGAATGAGCCAATTGAACTTGAAGAGTTTTGTTTCCACCACTCTGTTCTGTTTTTTTTTTTTTTTTTTTTTTTTGTTGTTGTCATTGTTAATGATTCCATAAATAGTTTGTATCCAAGAAAGCTATTAAATAATGGTGATTAATCTCTGATCTTATTAGCAATCACCCAAGAAACACCCAGCCAATTGGGGCAAGAGAATATGCCCATTACACCTCTGCAGAGGGGTAAAAAAATTCCCAAATAGGGCCACTGAGTAGTGATCCATGATGTCTGATAACAGATTCTGGTAGCTGGCAGTTGATGATCCTGGATAGGTAGGTCATTGGATGTAACATTTCACTTTGGCCCTTACTTGGGCTTGACGGGTGGTTAAAGAGGCCCAATTTGATCAGTCAGCTAGTCACATCAAGCCCCAATACTTATATGCACCAAAAACACTCCCAGTCTCAATTCATACACAGAACTTAACAAATATATAAACATATACTCAAACATATAATTAAAAAAAAAAAACAAGTATTAGAAGGTGGTGGCAAGAGTCAATCAGCAAGTCAAAATTCCAACATCACCATTAGACTCTGATGTTTCACTTAATTTGAGTGGAGAAACAGAACGCAGTAGCCAAAATACATCAGTTTTTCCTCTCAATTCAAGAACACCAACTGCTTTTATCAGCCGAGCAATTTTTTCATTTGTCGACAACTGGGAGAGGATGACAAGTATTTTGCATAACAAAATATTTTTATAGAGACTCCTGCAATGGACTTGTTTTTAATCTAAATACTCCGTCTTCAGCATGTCATGCGGAATACGTGCCTCTTTTTTTTTTTTTTTTTTTTTTTTTTTTTTTTGGTAAGTAATTTTCTTTTCCATCGTGAGATACACGCGACGTGTTGTCGCTTGGCTTTGACAAGGTAAGAATCCTTTATCTGAGATGTTTTTGTATGAGGACATCATGTAATATCAGTATTTTTTTACCTTGAAAAAGCCTATTATATGACATGTTATCGTGAAAGATTTAAACAACAAGAATAAAGGGCAGAATGTTGATGTTCATTAAAAACTTTGTCACAATATCTTTAGGGTGTGTATAGGGACAACATTGTCTGAACTTTACAAACAAGAAATGGGAGTACCTCAGGGAAGTATTCTATCTGTCACTTTATAATAAAAATAAACAGCATTATTTAAATGGTAAATGATGGATTTGAGAAATTCATCTTTGCTTGTGGATGATTTTGTAGTTGTCTGCTCATCAACATTTATGTCAAATGCAGAGACACTCAAAACTGTGATAACAAAATTGAAAATGGGCTGATGAAAAGTTTCCATTTTTTTTACAATCAAAACTGTAGGCATGCATTTTTGTAATAAGCAATCCCTACATCTAAATCCTAAAAGCGAATGACAGAGATTCCAATTGTCCAGTCAAATACCTAGGGATTATTTTTGATAACAAGTTAAATTCTAGAGCCCATATTGACTGGACTATGGATGTATAATTTATAGTTCTGCATGGTATGTGTGGTATGATGTAATTGATAACAGCTTGGAATGAGAAATTGGAGAGCCATGGTTGAATTATAACCAATTTTGTTAGATTCACTTATGCACAAATACACTTGAATGAATCCATTTCTTCACCCCCTTCCATCCCAGCTGTGAGTTGAGTAGCAGGACAGACTGGGGGTAGGGAGTCCTATATTCTTGGTTGGCAACCAGTCTACTGCAGAAAGAAACAGCAACTTACTGTGGAAAATCTTCTGCCTAGTCAGTCATGAATCAAAAGAGACATTATTGCCCAAGCATGTATCAAGTATGACACTTAACTGACATCCTATATAAAGAAGCTATTTACCTATCCAAAATTAAGGACCAAGACTATGTCTAAATGCTTATCATACATCCCCTATACATAGTCTCTATGTATAGACTAATGAACATCCTGTTTCTTAGATGTGATAAACTCTCTCTTCAATATGCAATTAAGCTCCAAAATAATGCCAATAACCCAACCCATGGAAAAGTAATAATCAAAATTCTTACTTTTATACAAGCAAGTTATTCACAATTCCTCCTTTTGGTCTCCATAATAAAGAAGCCATAGCACAAATAAATCATAACCCTGACAATATAGCACTATTCAAATGGTCAAATATACCAGCCTTGATGACCACTGAACCCAAAATAAATTTCACATCGCTATAGAACAATTTATACAGATGCATCCAAAGTTTTGAATAAAATGGGAGCTACTGCCACAGATGAGACTATTTGATGATACTTACATTTTTACAGCAGAAATGCAAGCCATAAGGATTGCTTTTGATTTTATAAGGGGTTCAATAGAGCAGAAGTTTGTGATATTTAGACTTAGATAAACTAGCAAAAGAAAATCCTGTAGCATATAAAAAATTCCACATACAGATTTTAAAAAGAAAATTAATGACTTTATAAAAAGCAAATGGCAAACAATATGGGACATATTCCCAGAAAAATAACTTTATGAACACTAACCAGGAGTCTGGCAGGAAAACGCAAAACTACTAAAAAGGCGAAGACAGAACACTGTGCTAATTAGAGCTTGTATTGGACATACAAGACTAACTCATATGCACCAGTTGAGAACTGAGGATGTACATCAATGCCCCCATTACAATCATAAATAGTTAAGCACATTCTGGTTGAATGTAAAATCAATTGGTTTAAACATAAATACTATGTTACAAATATAAAAAAATTCTTTAAAGATATTGCCCATGGCCAAAAAATAAGGTTTCTTAAAGAAAAAGGAATTTTTAAATTCCTTTAAAAAAAATTTTATGTATGGGTATATAAAAAGGACTGCTTGAAACAGATTCAAAGTGACAGATTAAACAATATATTTAAAATGAATTGTAGCTACCCCTCCAGCTATTGGAAAAAAATGAAAAAGCAAAGTATAGGTGTATTACTTTGAATATACGCTCTTTAGCGCTAGAGGGCGTCATTAGTGATGTTCTGAATTGAGTCATTGGGCAGTTTCGGGTCTTTCAAACATCATACTCCCCTCACCAAGTTGATCCCATCAAAGCTGATCAGTCTCTGATGCCCCCCATCTAAATTGACAGCCTGCAGACACTGACTTATATTATAGGCAAACCATACCCCTCTGTCATGCATTTGATTGGAAGTTGACCAACAGCCAATCGCAATGGTGTGAGCTCTATTTAAGTTGTTTATGGGGGGGTTATTTTTTTTTTTTTCTATGTGGATACTTGTCGGATACTCAGAAGGTAATTATGTTTTAACTCTTTCTTTCTTTTTTTTTTTTTTTTTTTTTTTTTTTCATGTTTCATCTCCCCCACTGATAATTCATCTCGCCAGCTGATAAAATAAGTTCTTAAAAAAAATGCAACCATAAAATAATTAGAAATTTACATTGTTTTTACGATTAAAATAAATAAATTACGACTTATGCAGCGTGTTAAACGAAAATAATATATAAAAAATGTCATTTAAAACTAGTTGAACAAGTAAACTTAGAAAATTCGTTTAAATCTGTCAATTAACTTGGTAAAATTAAAATTAAATTTACGATTAACAACTTAAAAAAAATTTACGAAAGAAGAGTTCTTTGAAAAAAAAAAAAAAGTTGTTTAACGGAATTAACAATGTTGTCATGTAAGACATTTGGTGACAAAAAGGAAAGATAAAATGGAAGTTAAAATATTCTATTAAGTAATAAAGAACGAAAATGGGGGGGGAAGATCAAAAAAAAAATTGACCCCTTTTGAACTTTATGATGTTGTTCCTTTATTCTAGATACTAAAATATCGAAATCACAGTTAATATGCGATATACCCCTTTCAACATTTGAGCAACAAGTAAGAAAAAAAAATTTGATAAAAAAAAAAATAATAATGAATAAAGATAAAATAGATTAGTTAGATAAATAAGTTAGTTAAAATTACAATTATTTTCTGACTATAAAAAACCTTTTTTACAAACCAAATCCTTCATTTATAATTAAAATTGTAACATATCGTATATATTTATATAAAAATAGCTAATTAAAGATTTATAAAACTATATATATATATAAATATATAGTTTTCCGACAATACATTGAATATTATAATCCGTGAAAACTTTATACTATTTGCACTTAAATAATGTATAATTTAAGATTTGTCTGTTGCACTATGCGATAAATAAATATTTTACAAAAAAACAAACAAAAAACGTTGTTTTCATCTATCTTTAAACTTATTTTTATCCATTCCTGATTGCTTGTCCATGCACTTGGTTGGTTTTATTAATAACCATTTGTCTTTGTTTGTTTTGCTGTTTCAGTAATAGTTTGGATAGCCGTTTTTTTTTTTTTTTTTGTTTTTGGTTAGCTGTAATTTGTGTATCAATTGCCATATCCGAGATCTTAGGTTAACTGGGATTTGTGCAAGGTCATTTATCTGTTAGTAAGTTCTTATATCCGTATAGCCCTTTCAGGCTTTCCTTGAATGCTGTTTGTCTTGTTGTTGTTTTAAATCAACTCTTTGCCATTTTAATTTCCGTCTGCCTTCCATAATATTTTGTTGGTAAGGTATCCCCGCATTCCAAGATCTCAGTTGTCAAGAGGTCATCTTCAAAAAACCAAGTGGGGTCCACCGAAGGAGAGTTCACGTTGTGGCTTCTTCTTTATATGAGTTCTGCTCATTTGTCTTCCTTTACCATGTTCCATTTTCTCCCAGCCATTAAAACGCAATGGATAATTGAGTGAGAATGGATCCTTGGAGAACTTAAATTGTATTAAGGAGATTCACAATTTAAAAGAATAAGTAATTAAAAGACAGAAATGGCAATTGAATGATATTGCATTTAAATTTTTGTAGGTTAAAATTGACTTTAAAGCAAGAAACCAACCAGATGGT